GTGTGTGTGTGTGTGTGTGTGTGTGTGTGTGTGTGTGTGTCTGCGTGCGTGTGTGTGAGTTGTGTGTGAGTTGTGTGTCTGCGTGCGTGTGTGTGAGTGTGTGTATCAGTGAACTGAAATGATCAATTGCAAAATGTGAGTATTAAAAATCCTGTTATATTTGTTTGTTAAGATGTTTCTAGTTTTTGTTCAAGGTGAGATTAGATTGTAGAGTTTGTTTATATTGATGTTATGTTGTAGTTATTGTTATACATCTATCTATCATTTTTATTTGCTGATCGAAAGATGGAAAGGAGAATGAATGAAAATCAAACAAGGGATTATATGATGATCGGGTTGTCTTCATTTTTGCTGCCTTCATGTTTTTAAATAACACAATTTTTGTAGTGAGGAAATGATTTATATATATATATATATATATATATATATATATATATATATATATATATATACACATTTTTTCTAAACGTTAATTAAGCAGCAACAGACCACCACTGTTGAGTGATTTGTTAACGTCAAGTTTCATAACATACTAATTTTTAATTAATTTTAAATGCTGAAAAATCTGCCTAAACTTAATTTTGAAATATCTTCAGGACAAAAAAAAAGGTTTAAAAAAATTACAAAAAAATGCAATAATTCCTCAAGTTGTTATGCCTGAAGTGCTATCCCACTTGTGTAATTATCTTTTCTCTTCTTTGTCCTTATTTTCTACTCACCTCAGTTAATTAGATAATTTGCATGCATAACTTTTGCTTGCTCCGTGGAATTTAAGGTGATTTACAAAAAGCAGAATATCATCAAATTGTATATTGCAATTGGAAAAAGAAGAGAGAGAGAGAGAAAGAGAGTGAGAGAGAGAGAGAGAGAGGCATTGCTAAGTGACTTGAGCAAGTATAAATCAGTGAGTTTGTTTGTTTACACATTCTCTTCTACTCATTTCCTTTCTTAGACCTATTCATATATGATTGCTGTTTTTCTTCTCAGCTCTTTTTTGAAACATTCTATACACACACACACACACACACACACATACACACACACACATTCACGCATGTTTCTGACTTTGTTTATTTTTCTGTTTTCTTCTTTGTTAACATCGAAATCAATGTATGTACTGGTACTCATGTACTTATTAACATATATTTATTTTCGTATGTGTATATTTTAATTGTAAATGTATATGTGTATGTATATATGTACTTAACATCAATAGATATGTGTGTTTATACTTAGCAGTATATGTATTTCCAATTCTGTTTTAGTTCACACGAAGAACACACATTATACTAATGCAAATATACTTAGCTCTGCACCACACACTCACTCGCTGGAATATGTTTAAGTGTTAATTTTCCCAATATTTATGCCCGCATTCATTCATGTGGATATATTCTAACATGTGTGCATCAATACTCTGTGCTTGCGTGTATGCGTCTGTAAGTGTGCGTGTACTTTCGCGTGCGTGCGTGTTTATGGTATGGAACCGTTTATCTAGTAATATATTATTTGTTGGTCCACATACTCAACTAAATATTGGTATTAAGTTGTTTTGTTGTTTGTGTATTTGCGATGTATGAGTATATATACTCTTCGATATTGGTAAAAGTATTTTTCTCTTCTTTTCATACTATTCTGTGCCCTATGGTTTAGTTGTATGTATGGTATTGTTAGTAGGGTATATACATACACGTGTGGGTATCATTTAGCATTCCGTGGTATCGTTTTTACGCATGCATACATACATATACATACATGTGTACACTGTACATACACACTAGTTAGTTTGTGTTATGTTGTATTATATGTCTGTACTTATGTCCATTTCTATGCAAGTGCATATAATGTGCATGTGATTAGAAAGTATACTGCCTGTTTGTTTGTTTGTTTGTTTGTTTGTTTGCTTGTTTTGTATGTTTTTTTGTTTGTTTTTGTTTAGTATATATCACATGTATTATCATGATCATTATACATCGTTATCATCATTATTATAACTATATTATGGTTGGTTATCATCACAAGTATCCATAAGGTATATTTATTTATCATCACCATCCTTAAATTTTGTTCAATTTTCACTTTTATCCCATTATTAAACCAGCATTGCTCTAACATTATCATCCTGACCAATTACTATTTCATTATTTTTATGCTATAGTTGTCATCATCATTTTATCATCATCATTATTATTCATCATCATTATTATATTCATCCTCATAATCATCATCATCAACAACAACATCATCATGGTTGCCATAGCTATTGGTTTTGGGTCTATTTTTTTCATGAGAAAGAACTAAGGACTGTTCAATTGATTGACTATTTATGTATGCATTTGTGTATGTAGTGTGTGTTTGTGTGTGTGTGTGTGTGTGTGTGTGTGTGTGTGTGTGTGTGTGTGTGTGTGTGTGTTGGTGTGTGTGTTGGTGTATACGTGGGTTTGTGAGCGTACCTATAATATGCTATTAGTCGTAATAATTTTTTTTTTCAAATATTTATAAATAATTTTTGAACAATAAAAGTTATTTAAAATAGTAATTTTCATATTTTTATATTACTGCTGCACAGGCGATGCAAACACGCACACGCTCGCACGCACACGCACACACCTATACTACAACTAAAAGGTCACAACAACAAAACAAACTCACTGCTTTTATGCATTATTATTTATTTCTACTCACGTTTTTGTTTTTGTTGTTGAAGAGAATGGTGATGTTGAAGAGGATGATGATGATGAAGAAGAAGAAGATAGTGATGATTATGATGATAGTAATGATCATTTTCAATTTGCATTGCATATACTTTTTACAGTATTTCATTTAGCTTCTACCAGCTACTACTTCAACCAATACTACTACTTCTTCTTTGTAGGTACCTTGTATTCAATATAAATCTTTACTACTACTATAACTAATACTATTATCAGCGTTGTTATTAATACTGCGACTGCTACTATTGTATCGCTACTACTAATACTGCTTGTATTAATACTGCTAGCTATAATACTGCTTGTATTAATACTGCTAGCTATAATACTGCTTGTATTAATACTGCTAGCTATAATACTGCTTGTATTAATACTGCTAGTTATAATACTGCTTGTAATACTACTGCTAGTTATAATGCTGCTTGTCACTATTACCGTTATTGTTACTATTTTTCCTACTACTACTAAACTACTAATATTGATATTTACTACTACCACTTCTACTATCTCGCTACTACTACTACTGAAGGTTAACAAGACTTCTTCTGCTGTTTAGTGCCTGGTCTGAAACTACTACTATCACAGCCGCCAATATTGATCTTATCTTTCTATTGCTGGTCATTTTTATTGTCTGAATGACTAATAGTTTCTTGCTAATTTTCTGCTGGATTCACTTCAAAATTCACTTACTTCACTCATTAAGTCATTTTCATTTTAACTTTGTTGTTGCCATGCTTAATGTTAGGATGATGTTAAATTAGACTATTAGGATGATGATGATGATGATGATAACGATGACGACGACGACGATAATGATGACAGGACATTGCTGGCGAGGATGATGAACATGTTAATGACAGTTGACTTAAAACAAGATGGTGACACGTTTATTTTCTTATCAATATTTTTTAGCCCATCTCCATTTGAATGCATACATGTATTTATATCATTTGTTTGAAAATGTAATACTATAACGTTGCACGTTAATTAACAGGTGTTGGTAACAGTGAGTACGGAACGACATCCTCTACAACGACTTCATCTGCGTCAGTTGAATCTTCCTTAACATCAAAATCACCAACAACAACAACAACAACAGCAGCAGCAACAACCATGGCTTCTTCAAGTTTAAAGAGGAAATCTAATATTTTTGAGTTGGTGTTATTTTTATGTAACTATTCACATGCTCATCTCCAAGCTATTTTAGCATTTTCTCTTTTTATTTCTTGGGGTAAGTTAGAAATTGTTAACAGCATTTGGTTAACAATTAGCACTGAAAGGGTTAATGTTAACAAAACTAAACAGAAACACAAAAACTGCCATCATTATTTTATTATGCTAAATAAAACAGCTTTTAAAAAGTGTACTTGCATGGTGCTTATGTGTGCATGTGTGTGTGGGAAAGAAAGAAAGTAATAAAAATGAGGGGAGGAAGAGAGGGGAAGAGAAAGGAGGAGGGTGAAAATGAAAACGAAGAGTTACTACTGAGTTACAGAAAAAATATAGAGGAATAAGTATAAATAATACATAATTCACTTTCATTTGTGCAAACTGCAAGTAACTAGTTAATAATATTAAGTGAGAATATTTTGTGCTTAAATAAATGGGAGTATCTAGAACATGAACCTGCTATGTGCACGCGTATGTGTGTGCTATTGTTAATTTATGCTTTTTTGTGTAAGTTTTTGTATGTCTATTCTTATGTATGTTTGTATATCTGTGTGTTTGTCTGAATCCTCACCTTTCTCAGTTAACTAGGCATACGAGTGAATCTAATTTGAATTTTATAATGAGCGTTTGAATTAATTAACTTTTTGCTCTCTTTTTTTACTCTTCATATCAGCCAACAGAGCATTTAACTTTATATTATGTCTGTTGTAGGTCAGTGCTCCTCAAACTTTTTGGTTCCGTGGACTGGCAACGAATTGTACTGTACACTGACTTTGTAGACCACCATATAAATATGAGCTTGCTTACCTACTACTACTACCAATAATAGTGATTTTCTCACTTGCATTGCTGCCCAAGCTATGAATTTTCTTTTCAAGTTTCAAAATTAAGCACTATTGAGAAGCACTGTTTGTAGGTTGTTAATTATGTACAGGTTTTGTGCGTGTCTTTTTGTGCATGCGTATATCAGTAATACACATATATCGTTTGAATTATTCATTCATGTCTGTTTGTATATATGTAATAAACTATTAATGCGTGTCTCTGCGTGTGCGTGTGTGTGTGTGTGTATTTTTTTGTTGCAGCTGTTAAATTAGTTAGTATGTATACACATGCGTGATGTGCATAGTGCGGTATGTATGATATTGCGCATATTATTTGAGCTGTAAGCTAGCTATCAAGTATTTTTTTTCTTTAGTTAAGTATTTTTATAGCTCTCCTGATTGTGTAAATATTTAATATATCATAACGAGAGAATTTTGTTGTAAACAATGATGATGGTGATGACGATGATGGTGGTGATGGCGACGAGGGTGATGGTTGAGATAATAGTAATAACAATAACAACAACAACAATAATAAAAATAATAATAGTGTCAGTACTGATGATGATAATCGTAAAACTAATAGTTGAAATTCTTTACAATGCTACCAAAAAATCAACATAAATGGCAAATGAACATGATATTTAACCACTATATTAAATGTCATTTAGCTAAGCTTGGCACACCAACAGATGCGTTGTTTTTCTTAAATTGTTATACAACGCCAGTATTAAAAACACTCTTAAATATATTAAAATTAAACTCAACGACACTGACTATGTACGTAAACTTATAACTTAATAATATGTATATGATGCAAGTTTGCCTCTCTTACTGTTATGATTACTTTACTGCAATAAATAACTCAGTCACATATGCTAGATGTGATGGTGTGTATGTGATGGCTTATTTATTTATATTTGTATCAAAACTTTACACCTTTACCAAAAACTGGTAATTAATTATGCGAGCATCTCTATCATATTATATTCTAATAAACAAGTGAGTAATAGAAACTTTTTCTTAAATCACTCAACTTAATGATAGAATTGCTACCAAATACTAATAAAATACAGTTCATAAAACAAGATAAAGTGACTTAATTGATTGAATTAATGAGCAATTAAAAGATGGTTGATAAAAAAGATTTAATTAACAGTACATATAAAAATAAGAGCTGTTTGTTTATCTATTCCTGTTAAATTACAAATTCTCAACTGGCAATACAAGAATGTTGTATTTGATTGATCTCATAATGAGATCAATCAAATCAGCAGTAATGCTAGATAAACTCTAATCGCTGTAGATTGATAAATAGTGTAAATTTTATGCATTAATAAATTTGTCGGTTACATTACTATAACTTTTCAGCCATAAATTTTTTATTACATAACTTGAACAGCGTGTGTTTTTATTGTTATTGTATAGCTGATATAAAGTCTAAGCACAGTAAAGTCTAAAGGTAAACATGACTGGCTGTTTTATTGTGCTCTGATGAAAATGCTAATGCTGAGCGATAAAGATATGTCAAATGCTGAAAGGATTATGATGATTGATACTGTAAATTAATTGTCTTCTGTACAATAGAAGTTGAAATTTATTACGGATTAATTGCTATAGATTAGATTTGCTTTTTCATTCCTTAGGTTTGAAGTTTTCACTTTTAATGTGTTTTTTTTTCTTTCTCTCTACGTGTTTATTTATTTACTTTCAATACTAATTACTTCAATTGTAAAAATGTGTAGGGGATTATGAAGCATGTATAGTATATACTCCTGTGAGAGAGAGGGAGAGAGAGAAAAAAGAGAGAGATAGTTTGCGAGTATGTATCTGTGCGTGTGAGTTTTTGGTAAATGTGTTACCATTTTCATAATCAAACTTTTTTAATTTTATGAACATTCGCTTCATAGCTCAATTTCCACTGCTGCAAGTTAATTATTCTGAATTGCAATTCTTATTGCCTGTTCTATTTTATACTTTTCTTAATGTATTCAACTCTCAATTCACATTGTATGGTTGGTTGGTATAGTCTGAATCAAATGTTTCTCCTGTTTAATTAAGATTTCAAAATGAGTTGTCTAAATGTTATTGTGTGTTCTTGCTTTTCAGTACAATAGGAAGAAAAAGTGTGTAAAAGTTTGGGTGTTTGTATGCTCTGTGTGTGTGTGTGTGTGTGTGTGGTGTGTGGTGCGTAAACTTATTTAGCACAAGTATATTTAGGTATTTTCTTGTAAGTTTTAACTACTAGATTTATTTTTAATCACTTCAAAAGTAACTACTGTTTATTGACATCTAATGATTAAAAAGTTGTTAAGCAGTAAAATATTTGAATTTTTTTTAATAGATTTAAAATTTATTCACTCAAGTTCAATCAGCTCTCCTTTGAAGTACTCAAAACTTGCTGACGACATAAAGCTGATAACATCCATGGAGCACAATAGCAACATCAACATTAACAAGTCGTTGAATATTGTCAACAAGTTGAATAACAACAACAACTGCAGCAACCACAATCGTGGAATAGCCCTACAGAATTATCTCTTTCTTGAAAATTTAAAAACTGCTTGTGAATCTGCAACTGCTCATGTTCATACAGGTTCCAGGGTCATATCACACAATAACAATAATAACGTTGACAATGTCCACAAAGACGTCACCGCATCTGCGTTGTCGACGACATGCCCGTCAACTACAACAACTCCATCTGTGCTACCAGCCACAACATCAATGCCACAGAGAAACGACTGCCACGGCACTTCGCTACCGCAGACAGGTTTTCCTACAACCTTAACATCATCAAAACCAGCAGATGCAACACTAGCAACTCATTCACAACACTACCACCAACAACAACAACTTTCAAGCTCAACATCAGCAACCGACCTACATTTAAGAGGTCTGGTTGATGGTTTGACACGTTTCTTTACGCCATCAAACAAGCGCTCCTCCAGAGTGTCTAGGAACGCCATACAGCAGCAGCAACAACAACAACATTCTCAACAACCACCATTGCCAAGTATGAACAGTAGCACAACTGCAGCTTTTAAAACATCTACCAAAAGAAGAAGACAAAATAATTGCAGCTTAGAGAAGAGCATATCTGAAATTAAGATGAACATGTTGAGTGACAAGTTAACAGCAATCAAGAATGAACCTGATGATGAGCTGTACAATTCACTGCTGTCAACATCAGTTGCCACTACCTTATCATGCCAGTCACCATCATCTACAACTTCCTCGTCAGCGCTGTCACTCTCACCATTATCACCATTGTCACCATCATCATCAACATTTTTTTTATCGTCATCTTCCGTTGTCCCCTCTATCACAACATTAGCATCATATTCATCATTGTCAGCATCTTCAAGCACTTCGACAATGATGCTGGTTTCACTGCCTTCATCACCTTCGATTATGACTGCAGCAACGGCAGGTACAGCCTCATTCGTTACCACATCTACCAACGGCACAACTACTACAACAGCCACAACATCTGCTCAAGATTTAAATTATCCATCACTTAATTTCATTATCTCATCATCGCTACCTACTCAAACGACAGCCACAAAGACGAAGTCATCTACCAGACGAATCTCATCGTCATCGTTGACCACTTCCGGCACGACGACCACCCACACTCGCAAACCACAGCGAGAACAGCTTATTGATGGACTTTCTCATTTTTTTACCGCTCAAGGCAAACGCCGAAGTCGCAACTACGGTAGCAGCAACTGTGGCTTGCACAGCAACTACAACTTATACAAAGACTACGTATACAATTCATCAGACGAGACAACGTGCACATCTAGATCAAGGTCTAACTCTAGCAATAGGTCAGCCGATACAGCCCTCCGTGTCAGGACTTCAGTCGCAAACAATTGTTCGTCACTCAGAAAACGGATGCTGCAATCGCCCTGTTCTGATCACGAAGTTGGTTCTGTAGCCCCGACCTTGTCAACGATCACCGAGATCTCTCCTATCAAGTTACAACAGCCATCTTCTTCCTCTTCCGCTCATCTGCCACATTTGATGAATTCCGTCTTGTTATTAAATTCGTTGAAACGGTCATTATCGTCAGCTGTACCATCATCTTTGCCCTTATCATTAGTCACTTCCATAAAACCTGTGACATCACCGTCATCATCGTTCTCTTTTCCACCTTCATTATCACCTTCATTGGTTTACTCATCGACTGATAAAGCAAATAATGCACCAACAAACTCTAAGCTTTGTGGTAATAATCCTGCTCTTTTGTCATCGTCTCCATCGTTATTACCTTCAAATACGTCATTTACGGCATCGTCGTCGTCATCATCATCGTCTGTCTTGCGAGTTCCACAGGCCATCAGCAGGTTGAGATCAACAAGATGGATGAGTAACACTCGTAAACGACCACCTACCTTGCAACTATCAATCAGTGATAGTGAGAAGGAGGAAGGGAATGATGGTTGCAATTCCACTAAGAGCAAAAATTATAACCACAGTAAAGTTATTAAAAAGACAGCAAATCATTTCATCTGCAATGAGAGAGTAAACGTTAATAGGACATTAGATTGTAACAATAACATTAGCAATAGCTGTAAAAATATTATAAACAGTAATAGTCTTATATCAGTTGTCTCCACTAATAATAACAGTGATGATGGTAGTAGTACATCAAGAAGCAAAGATGAGACACACATACTACTATCTTCATCATCATCATCATCAACAACAACGTCCCAGTGCCACAGAAATCGCAAGCTGCAACAACATTCAACAGCCAGTCATGAAAAGAGGAACAAACCAAGCCCATGTGTTGTGACCAGTAAAATTCTTCAACTTACACCTGGTTAGAGTTTGTTAGCTTGTTTGCCTGTTTTTTGGACAATCTGTTTGTCTGTGTTCTTCATTTTTTTTGTATTTTTTCATTTTATATCATGCTCTAATTTTTGCTTTAGTATGTTTTCTCAGTGTTGTGCTACATCTGTCAGCATAGTTAAATTTAATTTGCAATTTGATTTGATTGATTTTATATTTAAACAACTGCCAGATTGGTAAAAAATTTCTGATTTCATTTTCTGAAATATCATACTGAAAGTGATGTATAACATATACACATATGAAACATTTAAATTATGATAGCAAAAGAGGGCTGCCAAATGAAATCACTTTTCAGAAGCAGTTGCTGTCATGCAGTTTCTTTTACGTTTAATTACTCAATTGCTACACTCTATTTCTCTACCTGTTTCAAGCACTTGTTCACATATTTGTATGTACACACACTCCAACGTGTATATAGAGCTGTTCATGTCTATGGGCGACATAAGTGCACATAGCAAATTTGTTTTTATTTAATGTCAAATGTCGCATGTAAAATAGTGAGATTTTTACCTCTTTTTTCATTTGATAAATTTTTGCCTTGTTTAACAATATTGCAATTGCTAGAGAAGTGTGTGTGTATGTGTGCGCTTATGTGTGTGTGTGTGTTTGTGAGATGTGTTTGCGCGTGCGTGCGTGCGTGTGTGTATGTGTAGTTGTGTTCAAGCATGTTATTGAAGGCTAGTTTTGGAGTGAAGGATGCTTACTACTTCATTGTTGAATGGTATGCCTCTGATCTTGATTTATTGTGGTTAATGATGAAGATGAGGAGGAGGAGGAGGAGGAAGTAAGCAGGAATAGGATGATGATGATGATGGTGAAAAAAATGATGCTAATGATTATTGCTATTCTGATAGTGATGGTGATCATTATTAACCTTCTTTCTTTCATCATTGTTTCTTAGGTCAATCATTGATGGCTTTAATGATGTTCAAGCATATTCATTCCACTAGGCATTCATAATAAAAATAATGATGTGATAATATGATCTATATGTTTTCAATGATAAAATCTTTCAAATTTATTTTTAATTGTTAACATCTGTGAAGATGGTGCTATTGCTTTTTTTATGTAAAGGAAAATAATTTTTCTAGCGTGCTTTATGAGGTTTAATTTTTATTTCATTCTTTGATGATAATTTTAATACCTTTTTTGTTTATTATATCATTTGTCTGGGTTTCATTATTGATTTGAAATTATTTTCTTTCCTCTATTGATGATTATGAGGATTTGTTATTCAGCTTAATTGGCAATTAATAGAGCATTTTTATTACTATTGTTATCTATACATTTTTTTAGTTCGTTCGTTCATTCATTCATTCATTCATTCATTTATCCAGCAGTTCGTCTATTCGTCCAGAAATCTGTCTATTCATATCTTTATTTATCTATCAATTAATTAATTCATTCATTCATTCATTCATTCATTCATTCATTCACCTATCAATCGATCATTTCATTTATCAATCAATTTATCCATTCATCCGTCCGTCCATCCAACTATTCATCCATCCATCCTTTATTCAATTGCAGCTCATTATGAATGGATGTCTATATCAGCTGGTAGGACAACCATCAACAACAACAACATAACAGATAATCACATCAACAACAACAACAATAATAATAACAATAATAGCAATAATAATAGTAATAATAGCAACAAAATAGCCATAATTAAGCCTTCTAATGATGATGTATCCATGTTTAAAAAGGCTAAGGAACTATGCAAAAAAGTATTTTATGATTGTGATAATGATGATGATGATGATGAAGATGACAATTATGATAATGATGAGGATGATGATGAGGGTGATGGCGATTATGTTACATTACAATGAGAATGATTTACAAACATTTGCTAGTTAGAATAATAATTAAGTGATAACTTATTGTAAGGTGTGTTACACTGTACTCTGACTATTTTATTAGCATATTAATTTATAAATAATAATTATTATAATATATTTTATTATTATTAGCTCTAATAATTATGATTATTCTGTAAATCTATAGAAACAGTTGAGCATCTTAGAGCAGGACAACAGATTATCTTCCATTGTGTTTGGGGATTTCCATCTGGATGTCACCTACTTATCCAATTATCCTGTCGAATATTCAAGGTTTTTAGAAAATACTAATTTACTCTTTGTTACTAATATTATTTATTAATAATAATGTTTATTCTGTAGTATATTATTTATTTTTATTTGTGATAGGTAGTATTCACTTTTTAGGCTGATGTTTCATAATAAGTCGTGTTTTAAATATTGTAGAAACATGTTATTTGTTTTTTGAAATAAAGCTGGATAATGAATGAATGAAGGAATAAATGATCGAATGAATGAATGAAGAAATGAACGAACGAACGAGTGAATGAATGAATGAATTGAACGAATGAAATTTTATTATGATGTCGAAAGATGTTTTTTGTTACATCTGTTTTCAGATAAACCTAATCTTTTTTTCTCATTTTTGAGGGTTAATTAATTAATTTGCTTACATTATCTGTCATTGAATATCTCTCTCTCTCTCTCTCTCTCTCTCTCTCTCTCTCTCTCTCTCTCTCTCTCTCGCTTGTTTACAATTGCACTTTTTAATGACTTTTTTAATTAAGGTTTTCTGCAACTTGTGTTTGTATGCAAATATACAGATATATTTCTTCCCTTTAACTCCATTTAAACTGCATATTCATGTTTATGTTTTTATAAATGCGCGTGTATATTTGTATATAATATATCATAATGTTTGTTCTTTGTGTTTTTAAAATTTTGGTCTTTGTATCTTGTAGCATTAAAAACTGTTAAGAACAGATGAAATACAATGATACCATGCGTGGAATGTGTTTCCTGATGCTAAGTTTTAATCATTATAGTGTCCAAAAAACGTCATCAAGTTCACATAACTAGCGTGATAAAGTGATTAAGATATAAACTGATACAGAATATCTTTTTCCATCTTATTGCTTCTCTAAGCAATATATGCATGCATATTTATAGCCTGTTTATGAGTTATTTTTATTAGGATATCTTGTTTGTTTATACACTAGCAGATATATTCATGGAACACTTGTATACTTTTTTGCATACAGTGCGTGTTCACATACATACTCGCACATACGTTCACACACTTATACGTGCCAATACGCATATTATCAAAAATACACACACACCGCACACACATCACACACATCACACACACACACACAAATACAAACAAACATATTTTTGCATATACACACACAAATTCACACATAGATACAAATGGTGCTAACAAAACGTTAGCAGGTTTATGGCGTATTTTTTATATCCATATGTTCATTGCGGTATTATGGTTTTTGTGGAACAATACAAGTGGAGATGATAATGGTGATGACGACGAGTTTTCATGATAATGATTGAGATAATTGTTTCTATCTGTCATCTTTAAATTGTTACTATTTGTTACTTCGGTGATTGTAAGAATTTATTATATTGATGATGACGATGACGACGACGACGATGATGATGACGATGATGATGATTTTTCAAATGGCCTTGTTTCCCTAAAAAAATTCTTTTACTACAAAAACTACTTCCTACAAACGAAAGTGAAGATAGTATGGAAAGCTTTAAACACTAGAAGAAATGAACTTTTCAACTGTTGTAATGAATGAGTATGATGAGGATGACAGGGTATGATGATGCTCACCATGTTGATGACATGATGTTATCATGATGATGTTATGATATGGTAATGTAGTGAAGAGATGTGCCGCCGTATGTTGATGTTATAATGTGATATGATGTTTGTTTTATTAAATGCATGCAAAAATTAAACATACTAAAACATACTTCTTTTTATTTTGTTGTTTTGCATCTTATTGCATTTTTATGTTTAGGCTTTAGTTGATTGATTGATTGATCGGTTGATCGATTGATTGATTGATTGATTGATTGATTGATTGATTGATTGATTGATTGATTGATTGATTGATTGATTGATTGATTGATTGATTGATTGATTGATTGATTGATTGATTGATTGATTGATTGATTGATTGATTGATTGATTGATTGATTGATGTATTTTATAAACTTTCAACTTACAAAGAAAAGTAAATGATGATGATGATCATAATAATGATGATGATATCGATAATGATGATGCTGATGATGATGATAATGATGACTGACTTTGATGCTAGATAAACAGTAATAACAACAGCAGCAAGAGTAATAATAATGTCAGAGAAGAGTTATTTTTCCAAATTGTTCGGAGGCATAATTTATGATGTATCTGCCCTACTAGTTGAAATGCTACTGCTGCTGTTATTACTGCTGCAGCTACTACTGTTGCTGCTACTACTACTTCTGCCGCTAGTACTACTACTACTACAGATAATACTAATGTTACTACCACTACTGTTACTGCTATTGTTGCTGTGCTGTTAACTTACGGGTGCTATTACTGATATCATTACATTTGCTACTACAACTACTTCTAATAGTAATATTACTCTTACCTCTATCGCTACTATTACTGTTGAAAGTAACGTAACAGCAACTAATAGAAAGTTAAGACTTTTTCAGCTGCAAGTATCATCATGAAATTTATTTATTGCTATTTCCCTAGCTCAGGCACTAAACATTTTAGCGTAAACTATTAAAGCAATGTATTTATGCGTTTTGTATTTGTACCTATGTGTGTGTGTGTTTGTTTGTGTGTGTGTGTATATGCGTATGTGGTGTGTGTGGTGTGTGTGTGTGTGTGTGTGTGTGTGTGTGTAATGTTCATGCGAGTGTTTGTGTATTTTTTTGTATAAGCAGGTGTGGCATCAGTTTATGTATTTATTTTATCACATGTTAAAAATCATGCCTAAGATTCTTCGGTGTAGTATGGTACGCTCATGCTTCCAAAATATTACTAACTAATTGCAACAGCCGCGTTATGCCCGAGTTCAAACTCTCGAAACAAAAGAATTTAAAAATCACACTTTGACAACATTTTAAAACTTCTCTATAAAAATAAACAGCGGAATGTTTAAATGTGCATTTAATATAAACTAGATAAAGAACTAAATAACCTTAACAATGGTATATAACTAAATGTGCCCAATGAAACACTTTTCGTTGGGCACGCAGAGGCACGCACGCACACACGCACGCGCACTGTATGCATACACTTGTACGTGAATCCCCTGTAAGGCCCATATTTGCAGGCATCATCATTCTAATTACCTGTTGATGTGAATTTTATTATTATTCCTCCAGTTATTTCTGTTATTGCTATTGTTTTAGTATTACCAATTAGGTTGCTGTTCTTTATTTGTTATTTTCATTATTATTGTTGTGGATGTTTTTATTATTCAACCTGTTGTTGGTTTTTTTTTGCTATTTTTTGTTGTTCTATTTGCTCCAGTTATAATGATTAGGATTGTTGTTTTTGTTGTTGTCATTATTATTTTTCATTGCTGGTTTTGTTTTTATTATTTTTTTTATTGCTGTTGTTGCTCTGTGCTTGCGTGCCTTTTATTGCTAACTACTTCAATTATAAGCATGGATGCAGTGAGTCTGGAATGACGACGATGATTATTATGATGATGATTAGTATGGTGATGATGATGATTAGTATGATGATGATGATTAGTATAATGATGATGATTAGAAGAAAGATGGGGAAGGTTAAGATGATATTGGAAATTGTTAAGATGATGACCATTAGGATGATGATGGTGATGATGATTTATATCAGATAGACGGAATGTGAATATTAGAATTTAAAAAAAAAATTACTGTGTAAATTACTGCAATAAAAATGTAGTAAAAACTTTTATTGTATTATTACTTTTGTCATTTTCCCCAATATCGTCATTAACTTCATTAATTATTAATAATAAATGTTTAATATTAATATTAATTATATTACTGAAAATTTTATTTATCGTAAATTTTTTTTCCTTTTAACAGCCTTCCTGTACTATTTGTGTGTGAGTTCTGTCTAAAGTATTTCAAGAGTGAAGATTTATTAGAAGCACATAAGGTTAGTTACTTACTTACTTACTTACTTACTTACTTACTAGCTAACTACTAGCTTTCTAACTCTTGCCAAGTGCCTCCTTTGTTCTCAGCTACTAAATTTTCATACTTACAAATGGATCTATTTATTTCTGTTTTTTACTCATCCATTTTAATATTCAGTTTCTTAAAATCTCTCTTTCTCTCTCTCTCTTTCTCTCTCTCTCTCTCCCTCTCTCCTTTGACTGAAGTTTTTTTTCTTTATACGTATATTGTCATGGTGATTCGTTACGAATGTATCATATTTTATTGTTTAATTAAACAAGCATTGAACAAACAAATCCTCATCAAATCAGACATCAAACGCCGTTAGCCCGGAGATGATTTCCTGTCATCACCAGCAGCCAGAGCAGCCCAGCAATCCACACCATCCTCAATGTCCACCTGGAAATGAAATCTACAGAACTACCAATAACAGATACTCCGTCTACGAGGTCGATCCGTGCGTCACTGCATTGTATACTGAGAATTTACTCTCATTTTCTAGGTGCTTTGTTGAGCCAGAGTTACAAATGCTTTTTACATCTTCATCTTACCTCTATTACATTCTCACCGTCAATGAGTACGTTCGCTGCGGTACTACTACTAATTCTACTGCTAATGGTGGTTGTAGTGGCTGTAGTAACGTTGTTGTTGTTGAAGATCCTTGTAAATGTTGTTGTGGTTCCTCTTTCTCTTCCTCTCCTTCGAAACTGGGTTGTAGGAAGATATCGAGATTTGTCGGATATTTTGTCAGGGTTAGTGTTATTTTCATTAGTCTTGTTTCTGTATTGTTACAACAATAATTTTTATAATAATAATAATAATAATGATGATGATGATGATGATGATGATGGTGATAACATAATAATACTGACATATTAATAATTGTTATAGTCATAAGAGTAACTTTTAAAGGTTATAAGAATGGTAGAACAGTACTAACGTTTCGTATAACAGGACAAGAGACAGGTAAAAGGCCCAAGTCTCATATTCATATTCATCAGTCCTCCATACAGAAGGAAAGGATATGCTACCATGCTTATCAATCTCAGTACGTCTTCTTGCTGTTTTGGTGCTGTTGTTGTTTCTTTATGTTTGTTTGTGTGTGTGTGTGTTGTGTGTGTGTGTGTTGTGTGTGTGTTGTGTGTGTGTGTGTGTGTTGTGTGTGTGTGTGTGTGTGTGTGTGTGTGTGTGTGTGTGTGTGTGTGTGTGTGTGTGTGTGTGGTGTGTTGTTTCGTTAAGTTGGTTCTTTGTTTATTTAGAACTATACATGTTGGACTTTAAGTTAATTTTATCACTTTAATAATTGTTGTTTTTATGTGTTTTGTTCACGAGCAATCACTGTTTTGATATTTAATAAAGATTTTATGAATAAATAACTACACTGAACTTAGTTCAATCATTATGATATCATATCTCTATCATTATGATATCATATCTATATCATTATGATATCATATCTATAACGCTGAACAGGCTACAAGTTATGCAAACTGTTAGGCACACCTGGAACTCTTAAAAGGACCTTTTCAGCACCCGTCCTCTCGGCATTTCAGAGGTACTGGTCTTGGGCTGTACTCAACTATTTTCAAATGCACTCATACGACAGCAAAAAACCCGTTGCTGTTAAAGGTATGCAAGTAGTGATGATGATGATGGTGGTTTTGGTGGTAATAATAGTGATGATGACAACGAATAAGGGTTATTGTAATATCATATCTATATCATTATGATATCATATCTGGTATAAGATGGCAAATTAGACAATGACAATTATATTAGAGAAGTTATATCTAGATTAAAATTTTTCGTCCATAAACTTATTTCAGTATATGAATAAAATATTCACTAATTTCAAAACGACGTTAAAACTTTGAATTGAATAATACTTATTCACACACCCCACCCGATAGAGATAAGTTCATCCCTCGGCATTGCATGTACAAATGTGGTCTCCACCCTGCTAAAGCTTGGTATTATACCCACTAAAATAAAGAGCAGGTACGTTTCCATTTCTGTGTATGTAGTCGCATGTGTGTGTGCGTGCGTGCGTGCGTTGCGTTGTGTGTGTGTGTGTTTTTACTATAGTGTGTATTTTTTACTATGGTGTGTATTTTTTATGATATATTTACACGTGTTTACTTGAATATTTTCATAATTTGCTTTCAGGAGTACGTTCATACCCAACGTCAAATCCATAGATATAAATAGAAGAGAGATGATGAGGAGTGGGAAGAAGATGAGAGGCATTGTGTTGAGGAATATTGACGTCAAACAGTCCTTACTCATGGTTCGTTCTTATTTGATTGCTTGGTTAATTAATTGGTGGTCGATTGATTTGACTGGCCGGTTGGTTGGTTGGTTGGTTGGTTGGTTGGTCGGTCGGTCGGTCGGTCGGTCGGTCGGTCGGTCGGTTGGTTGGTAGGTTGGTTGGTTGGTTGGTAGGTTGGTTGGTTAGTTGGTTTATTAATGATTGATTGATTGATTGATTAATTGATTGATTGATTGATTGATTGATTGATTGATTGATTGATTGATTGATTGATTGATTGATTGATTGATTGATTGATTGATTGATCGATCGATCCATCAGTGATCAAAGTGATCAAACGAATGATTCAATTAGATAGCTTTTATCATCACAACAATCCACAGAGAGATAAAGTGACTCCAGAGGCTATTGAGACATGTTGCACGCTCGGCGGCCTAGCTGATGAAGATGATGGTGACGATGGCCATGATGATATAGTGAATCACGATGATGTCGTTAACAGTGCTTGCCATCATAAAAGTATTGCATCTGACTTTAAAAGTTTGTTTCAATTTGTTTTTGTTTCTTGTTTCTTTGTAAGAAAAATTTCAAATTAATGCTAGATAATGATGGGACCATGATATGATAATAATGACATTAATGACGATGATGACGTCATCGGTGACGGTGATTGTCACGATGTTTATTCAAATTACTTGAAAATTAACCTCACCACAGCCGCTACAACTGTCGCAGCAGCAACAAGTTGTACATTAGCCAAAAATACAACTACGGCAACAAATGTTACAATAACAACACGATCAACAACACATTCAACAACAACGCATTCAACTACAATGCTTCATGCATCTGAAAATAAGGCTGTCTCTCATCATAAGGTATGTAGTAAGGTTTTTTTGGCTAATTTTCTGACACGCTCATTGTCATAACCTTATAAAAAAGATCATTGTTTTGTTTCTGTTGACGTGTTTGTCTACCAAATAAATGTACTGCTATTTATTTAAATTTAAAAGTTGTCTCCATAGCTCCAAATCTGAAAATTTTAATTTTGTAAGGGTAATAGTTGAAAAATTTGTTTAAAAATATAATTGAAGATGAATTAATTAAATTAACGTCGTGAAATAATTTTAAAAAATTCTGATTAGATGGAGTGCAGTGACGTTAATGATAGCAAGAACGCTGGTTTCCATGATAACAACAACACGCCCCACCATCACGTAGCAGCTCTTAATTCAAACAACAACAACATCATCAACAACAACAATAATGATAATTGTACTATAAGTGATAGTTCTGCAAACAACATTCAGAGTAAAATAAATAATAGCAACAATGACCCTGGTAACGACGACGACGATGTGAATGGTAAATGGGACGTGAAAAATATTAAAGTTGATTTCACGAGCCAACAACATAACGTTAACTTTACCGACAGTGGACATCAAATAGTCTGTAGTAGTGACGAGCGTATCAATAATAATAATAATAATAATAATAATAATAATAATCTGAAAGTAGAAAAGCAGGACGTCAAACAATGTATCGTCGTCACTACCAACCCTTCGTCGTCGTCGTCGTTGTTATCACCACCATTACCTACTGCTGCTACCACAGCTACTGCTTCTACTTCCACATCCCCCAGCGTCATTTCGTCATCGTCAACTGCCTCGGTCACGTACAACAATAATACGGCGGTCATACCGACTGTACCGACGATTAAAAAAGAGTGTCGGTCGGTCGAGGTACAGACCGACGCCTACGACAGCGAATACAGTTCGGACGAATCCGAGGACGACGACGATTCCGATGACGACGATCTCAGCGATAGTTCGACCCGACAGAAATTAGAAGAAACTGCTGACAAATTAATTCCGCCACCGACGACAAATATCGAAAAGCCAGTAACTGCCAATGCTGGAGTTAAAGAAAAGGCTTATTTTGACAGTGTCACTACTGAAAAACCTCATTACTTTGTTGCCAGTGTCGTCAGTGCAGATTGCAGTAACAACAGCAATAACAACAACAATATCAGCAACAACAATAATAATAACACCAACAACAATATTAATAATAATAACAGCAAGAGTAATAGTAATAACAATAACCATAATAATATTGATAACGAGAATAATATTAACAACAACAACGATAGTAGCAACAACAACAATGCTGCCGATGATGACGAAGACAACGAAATGACAGATTTCTGCGAGCAGTTGGAGGGGTTGAATGAGAGTAATGTGCTGGCCTACGATGACATGCCAATAATCATGGACTACGACATGAACAGCAACTGCAAGGATGCTACGGAAGCTGATAATCAAGAGGATGATGATGATGACGACGACGAGGAGGAAGATGACAACGATGATGACGTCATCGCAGGCGGTGGTCGTTATGATAACAATGTCAATCTTATTGGAGGTAATGATAGTAGTGTTAATAGGGTTGTAAATAGAGATAATAAGATAACAGTTGAAAATGAGATGTCCAGGGAACAAGAGACTTATCTTCATCATCAACATCAGCAGCAGCAACAGTATATGAATCAACAATATCAATCATACAACAACAACAATCATCCTCAACATCATCATCAACAACAGCAACAACATCTTAACAACACGCAATCTCCGTTAGTGCCAGACTTGAACAACTACAGCAACCAACTGCCATCTCCGGCCAATTCCAATGGCATGCAATCACCTGTTAACCAACCTCTCTCAAATAATCCATCTATCGCTAATCCAAAAACACCTTGTGAACAACAGCAGCAACACAGACACCACCAACAACAACAACATCAACAGCAGCAAATAGACTACCAACTCCAACAACAACAAATGCTGAATAAAGTATCAAATGTCAATTCGTATCTCTCATCCAACGATCACAACAACAACATGTCATCGTCATCAAGTCCGAACACGCAGTCTGCCAATGCATACTACCTCCATAATAATAACAACAACAGCAACAATAACAACAGTCAGTTGTTACTCAATCAAAGCAGTCCAGTTGGTTTGAATTGCAACCACTACAACATGCCTACACCATCTCCAACAAATAGCAGCTCGAGAAGCTTCGGCATGGCTTCACCAAACACATCCAACTTTCCGACACCTCAACAACAACAACAGCCTCAACAGCAGCAACAATTGTTCGATCGTGGTTGTCCCAGTGCTCCAGTTTTAACGTATAGTCGTTTGGCGTGTCCTCACTCTAGCTCAGACGGTCAGTTTCCTTGGGCGTCCATATACCAGCAACATTCTACTCCAACCGAGTACTCATTCATTCGCATACCTGAGCAAGATTTTATGCAGTGCAACCTCACTCCAATGATGAATCAACAGCCATCTTCTCTTGATTCAATGCCACAATCCAGCCTCGTTGCTTTCAACCAACAATCTACCGTCATGACTAATGGCGGTAGTAATAATAATAATAATAACAATAATAATAATAATAATAATAACACAAATAATAACAGTAATAATAATAATAAGATGCAGTCTCCATCTGGAACAGCTGTAGCCAATGTTTCAACCCCTATGCATAATGCTGTAACGAATGCACTGCAGCAGCAACAACATCAGCAACAACAGTCGAGTCAACAACAGCACTCGAATCAACAACATCAACAGCAGCAGCAACAACAACAACACACAACAACAAAACAAACAAGACGATGCAACAGCAAAAACGTCAAAAATCAATCAAACACAACAAACAACAACAGCAGCAACAATCACCAAAACAGCAACTCATCATCTTCATCGTCATCAGCCCGCAGCCAGTCAGTAGCACCAAACGTCATGATCCAACCGCGGACAAACCTCATCACTAACTACAACGTCCTCAACATGAACGTGCCTCCAGATTATCGAAACCATCCTCATCATCATCATCCTCATCATCATTCTCAGCATTCTCATCATCACCCACAACCCATCACGGCCTACCCTAGCTCACCTTACATAACGGCCTCCAATGCATTCATCAACCAGCAGAACAAGACACCCCACCTGAACATCTACCCACATCAAACGGCCCTCGGTTTCGCCACCCATCAACAACCTCAATATCAAAATGGGGTCTACACGGCCTACAATTATATCAGCGGTGCACTCACGCAGCAGTCATTCAGTATCAACGTTAATAATATCATGAAACAGTGATGGTGATGGTGGTGGTAAAATTGATGGTATAAACTATGATCCTATTTCGCCTGATAATTAATGATTTGAGAGCAAATGTGATGAGATGATGATGGAGATTAGGGGGCTGTTGTTGTTTTAACGAAGATGGTAGCGATGATCATCTTGAAAGTTGGCTGATATAAGGACCGTGAAGATGCAGTGACAGCCTTAATGATGTAACTTTTCATAACGACAATGATACTGATGACTTTTGAAAGGGCTAAAGGAATTTGTTTAAGAAATTTATTCACTAAATTATACAGTAGCATAATTACGTTATATCGAAAATTAAACCATTGTATGTATATATATATATATTTTTATGGTCTATTACCAACGTATATATATATATATATATATATATATATATATATATATATATATATATATATATATGTATGTATGTATGTACATTGAAATGTACTCGTTTGTTGGATAGTTAGTACTGAGTTTGACGCTACTTTAAGCGCTTTAATTTATCTTTATTTTAACCATCGTTATTCATTCTCGTCACGTCGTCTCATCATCTGAATTTCATCTTTTTGAACGTTGATAATATTCCCCTGGAAGCTGATTGCTTTTCCCCCGTTGCATTCTTCATCGTTGTAATGATGGTGGTGATGATAATTGTAATAATCATAGCCAATGATGCAGTAGGTAATATTAATGGATGCATTTCACTGATGATTTTCTATATAAACTGTAGTTATAAACGATGATTGACATCATGATGTTTTAGTGTGTGATCGATGTAGCTAAGCTAGCTACTCACATTTTATTTATTTCACAGTCTTATTTAATTATAAGGATGATGACGAAGATGACGTCAGTGGCGATTATGAAGGTGATGATAGCATTAGTATATTTAATTAAATCCAATGATATGTTTGAGCTGTTATCAATGCTTTTGACATATCTAAAATACATTGATGGTGTGTGAGTATTTATATATGTTTGTGTGTGTGTGTGTATGTTTCTTTGTATGTGTGTGAACTGGTATAGACTAATCATGTATATGTATGTGTATCAATATATACAATTATTTGTATGTATGTATGTATATACGTATATTTATTTGCTTGTACGTATGTATGTGACAACATGGAGTGTATATATCTGTATTTTTTAACACTAGGCGGTTATTGTTTTTGTTTTGCCTCTGCGTCTGCGTGTGAATTTTTTTGAGATACAAAATTGTTCTATTTTGTTTTGTAATTTATTTATTTCACTAACTTCCTAACACTTCATGCGAAATTTTATTTATTTTCCTGAATTTTAATTAATAATTAAAATTAATTGGATTGAAAATTTGAAATAAATGATTTCCATTTGAATTAATTGCTGGCATTGTCTTCGCCCCTAGTCTACTTCAATTGAGTTATTTTTCTTCATCAACTTTTTTAAATTAATAAATTAATTTAATTCGTTTAAATTTATTTTAAATTCTTCTGTTTTTTTATTTATGCTATTTATTTATTTCGTTCATTTTTAATTAATTAATCTCGAAATTTTTCTTGTCTCATTCATTATGCACTATGTAAAACAAAATTTTTGATGTGGCCAATTTGAAGGTGGCCATGATACAACTATTGAGATTATTTATTTTGCTCCACTCTAGTTTATTTTCTTTTCCATATTATTTAATTATCTCACCTTTATTAGTGACTGATTGATTCATTTGATCAATCAATTAATGAATTAATTAACATTTTAAGTTAATTGACTGGCTGATTGAAGGATAGAATAGTTAGTTGGTTAGCTAGCTAGATAGTAGTTAAAGTTATTTCATTTTATGTCGCTATAGTTCATTTGCTATGGTTTACATGTTTTTGATTGGTTGCATTAGACCTTTGATTGGTTGCATTAGACCTTGGTTGCATTCATTTATTCATTCATCCAGACGAAATGTCGTCTAATAATTTTTTCACTCATATTTCAATCAAAAACTTCAGTCCGAATTTTCTAAACTACAGTTTATTAAAAATTATTCTATAAGAATTTAATAGTAAGTATAAACTCTAGTTAGTAACTAATATAATAATGATATACTAATGATAGTATATGATACAATGGGATTGTATTTATCAACAGTACTGTAATAATTTCAACTGTGTGTGGTGTGTGGTCGCGCGCGAGCGTGTGTGTGCGTGTGTGAGTGAGATATGATACGATATGATATGATAATTAAGATGATAAGAATTAATAGGTTGTTATCATCACAACGGCGACGACGATGATGGTGATGAATATAAGATGTTAAAAATTGCGTCATAAACGTGTGTAAATAAATAAATATACAAATTAGATGAGTGAAAAAAAAAAGATGAGCATGGCGATGGTGTGATGATGACGACTGGTTTGGTTTTTCTCATCATCACGATCACCGTCGTTACACTATCTGCTGTCTATTTAATATTCATCATCTCTAAATGTATATGCTCACCTAGATTGCTTATTGATAAATAAATAAAATATGTGTGTGTGTGCGTGCGTGCGTGCGCGCGCTCTTGTGTTAATTGATTATTACTTACAACTGTATTGCTGTTGTTGCTGACATTCTTACTTTCTTACGTTCTCCATAATTATTATTATTGCATGGCTATTCTATATATATATATATATATATATATATATATATATATATATATATATATATATATATATATCATCACGTCATCATCAGCGTTATCATCGTGAACGTGTTGTATACATTTACGAACGGCATATTTTGTCTTTTTATTCATCACTTACTTGTCACATCTTCATTTTGCATTATAACAAGCTATAGGGCATTGTGATGATAACGATGATGATGATGATGGTGATTCTATGGATTATTATTATTATTGTTATTAATATTATTATTTATTATTATTTGAAAGTGTATATAATTAGTTAGTAATATATCGTACATTTAACTTGTGCGTACGCGAATTACTGAGAAGATTTCAGAAACATTGTAGTACGGTTTGTGTACGTTAGCGTATCTGTATATCTTTTATGTTTGCCTGTCTGTTGTGGTTCTGTATGTATGTGGTGTTTTTTTTGTTTCTATGTTTCTGTACGTGTTTGAAATCATGTGAAACCTTATTTTTATCTTCTTATTCCTTTTTGGTTTTTGCGATGAAAATTTTCATATTTAAATTTGAAAGTATTATTAATAATGATGATGTTATTACACACAAACACACATATATATATATATATATATATATATATATATATATATATATATATATATATATATATAAATACGACGCACATGTATTTCATTTCACAAGTTCTCACATGTGCTATTTTTTAAATTCTTAAACAATTGTGGAAATACTTCAAACAAACGATCGATAATTTATTATTATGTACATGTATTGTTTATACCGTTTTTTGTACACATGCAAACAGTTGTATGTGTGTGTGTGTTCGAGCGTGTGTGTATGTCTTCGTGTGTACTGTTGAATCTTTGTATTATACAAATATTACTTATGACTGATAATTCGTAAATAATTGGTTAATTATTGTTGAATGAATAAATTGTCATTAATGTACTTCAGGCGCGATATAGCGTTGTTAACATTATTTTATTCTATATAAATGTAATTAACTACTGACGCTGTTATTATTAGATTTTATTATTATTATTATTATTATTGTCACCACCACCGCTCCGTTTAAGACTATTTTTGTTTAAGAATTAATTACGTTGTAAAATAATTCGATCTTAAAACATTGTCCCGTTTTTTTCTTCATAATTTCAAGAGTTTTTTGCAAAAAAATCGTTTTGATGTTGTAGTGTTTTAACCTTCTAAAGTTTCTTTAAATTTCAAAACTTTTCCAATCAAACTAATGATTCATGAAAGTTTCGGTAAATTAGGGTAAGGACAAACAGCTGAATACATGTTAACACATAATTCACAACACGGGTGCATACGTACACGCGAGTACATACCTACGTACGTACGTACATCTGCTATACAACTTCAGCGAATACGGTCGGTTTACAACGCCAGAACCCAGCAGAGAAACAGTGGAACATTAACAAGGGAAAATAGAACATCACTGGTTTCACCGATGAAAGCTAAAATGTGTAATAAATGAACAGATTAAGAATTAAAAACGATCTATGGTTAGAATTAAATGATTTTTTAATTAAGGAACTGATGTGTTGTTCAACGACTCTGATGATAGCGGAATTTGAATTCAATGAATGCATGCCCTCCTTCGCAGGCAGACAAGAAGAAATTGCAAACCATGTGCCAAAGGATTTATTTGCATTTGATGACTAAATGGTTGGTCTATTTCGCTAAATGTCGTGCCTTGGTCCGTTTTTTTAACAATTTACGACGAGCCTGTTTGCATTTTAAAAGTCCCAATTAATGCATTGTTGCAAGTATTTTTAGCCAAAATAGATCTGTATGGCGTGGCTGTGAAATGTAGGGCGAAAACGGAAACAATAAATCAACACGCGCTTATTCTGTGCGTCGACAACTTCGATAACATTTATTAGACTTTGATTTCTAAAAAAAAAATAAACTAATGAAAACGAAGTACTTTTTGAGTCACTTTATTTCAACCCGGGATAAAACGTTAAAACTTAATATTAATTATTTACACACAGTTGGCTGGTCAAAATAATGTTCATCAGTATTAAATACATTTTTCAGCCAATAACAAAAACAGATGACAAAAAATTGCAATATCCCAATGTAATTAATACACAAATCTAGAGAATATTTTATTCAATAAGTTAGACAAATTGTGATTAAAATTTTAAAAAGCCTACCATTAAACGAAAAGCAAAAAATTGAATGAGCTTCATCTCCGTAGAAGTGATTAAAAACTAATTCATTTTCACTGGTCAACGATAATTAGTACATTTAAACTAATTTTAAAAATAATTAACAAATTTTAAAATAGAAATCAGCATGGGAGTTCGGATCCAATAGAAGGCCCGAGTGTTTATGTGATTGCTCTTTTCCTATTTAATCATCATAAACACAAGACAAACAAGATAACTAGTGTGGCATCCCCATTCAAAGTACTGGACAGCAAACGTCGAGACCCTATACAACGTTCAACAGAGGTGATCTCATTTTAACGTCAGAGAAAATCGAAATGGAGATGTGTTTTGAAATTGTTTGCAGAAGAACCATGAAGCACCGAACAACAACACCGTCATAATCACATATTTCATGGCCAGCAAATCGAAGCATAAAAAATCCCTAAACTTTGTCGGTATCACGTGATCAGGGTATCAACATTCCAACCAACCAATCACATAGATTCGTGCATCATGATTCAACTGTGGCCTAGTTGAAGGTCATTGGATCTGAGGCTCAAGCTGGTTATGCAGAAATCATACGCCGTCATACACACGCATGTTATTGTCATCATAGTAACGTACACTTAAAACAAGCATAACACTTAAAATTAACCCTAAAAAATTATACAACGCTCTTTATGTATAAAAAGTGATATATATAAACAGATAAACCAACGTCAATTAAATAGGTATCGTCCCTGCTAGATGAATGCAAATGGGTTAAGTAGATTTTGCGTTGGATGTCTGAAGCGTTGGAACTTAGAACACAGAATTGGATGAAAGAACAGCTGATTCAAAAATCACAACTTAGAAGAAACACAATCTTGACTAACACGGCACAATATTATTTAAGTATTCATCATGTTATTTCATTGTTCTTAGGCTAACGTTTGTAACACTCATACCTCAAAACAACAAACACGTACATTCAAACGAGCAACTAAACAAACGTTTCATCTCATCCCATTCATAAAATATCAAGTGTCCTGAGCACTAAAACTTAAGAGGTTTAGGCTGTTCCCAGGTGAACTCTGGTCTGCCGAAGTGACCGTATGATGCCGTCTTGAAGTAAATTGGTCGTTTCAAATCGAGGTCTCTGTTAAATTTGAAAACATTTCAAGTTGAATATGATAAAATTAAACCAAAAATTTCATCTAAAATCAAACGGAAAATAAAAACAACACAATCATTCCCCGTTGGAGCAATTTCAACCTACTTGACAATTCTTCCAGGTCTAAGGTCAAAATTTTCCATGACGATCCTCAATAACTCACTGTCTGGTTTTACCCCCGTTCCATAACTGCTCACAAAGACTGCAAGTGGTTTGGCGACCCCAATGGCGTATGACACCTGCCATTAATTAATTGAGGTAAAAAGCAAATAAATTTCGTGCAATTGAATCAAGGAATGATAACAAACACAAACGTTCCCTCAAGTGAATCACTTCATACATATTTGAATAAAAAATAGAACTTACAGCGGCAGTTATAACCAACGAAGCAACAAGGCCATACAAAAAGCCAAAAACACGCAAAATCAGCGAGAAGCATTAAACAAAAAAAACGATTCAATAAGCACCTGAACAAGAACCCTCTTGCAGAGTCCTGCTTTGACGAGAGACTTGGCAACCCAACGAGCAGCATACGCAGCCGAACGATCCACTTTTGAGAAATCTTTTCCACTGAAAGCACCCCCACCATGCGCGCCCCAACCTCCGTACGTGTCAACTATGATCTTCCTGCCCGTCAGTCCTGCATCTCCCTGTGGAAAATGAGGGTACGTTTGTGAATCTTTAGTTGGCAATGCTATTGGTTAGTAAAGGTTTCATTGTATTGTTTGATATATACTTATATATATATATATATATATATATATATATATATATATATATATATATATATGGTTACATTAATTTATTATGTAAAACTTTTATTAGAGTTTATTTTTATATTGGATCAAAAAAAAATCTCTAAACCTTTCACAATATAACAGCAAACATGAATAGATAAGCACAATAAATGAAATAAACTCAAAAAGAAGTAAGACTATGGACCAGAGTTACACACTGAAATACTTATTTTAGTATTAATATTGGATAAATAAAACCAGCAGACATTTTAAAAGTTGTGAAATTTTCTGTATTAAATTAGATGTAGGCGTACAGATCTCTACCTCTGTCTGACTAATAGCATTTTATGTTAAATTACGAAAGGTTTAATTACAATATGCTAACCTGGGGGCCGCCGATGACAAACTTTCCAGACGGGTTGAGATGGTAGACGGTCCTCTCGTCCAGGTACTTGCTCGCAACAACTGCCTTGATCACCTGGAGTGATGAAATGATGCAACTTCATTAATTAGCATTTTTTTCCTTTTTTTATTCAACAATCAACTCATACAACTATTCATTACCAATCTACACATCCATCTCTCTTTATCTCTTTCTTTTTTTCTCTCTCTCTCTCTCCATCCATCCATCAACATTAATAACATGGTCATCAGCACCATCGTCATCATTGACGTCATCATCACAATTATAATAGCTGGTGACCTTTTCTTTAAGATCCTTCTGTATCTGTTCTAGCGTAACATCTTCGGAGTGTTGAACGGAGATGACGATGGAATGTACTCTTTGTGGGATGCAGGCTCCCTTCAACATCCTGTACTCACATGTTACCTGTCATGGTCCATGTTTGTGTGTGTGAGCGTTTGGTGTGTGTATGTATGTATGTATGTTTGTGTTAGCATGAGTATGTTTGTGTGTGCGTGAGCGAGACAATATATTGGTGTGTATGAGCGTGTCTTTGTTAGTATGAGTATATCTGTCTGTGTGTGTGAGAGAGAGAGAGAGAGAAAGAGAGAAAGAGAATATGTTTGTCTATTTGAATCTGCGACGAAAGCCTACTATATTGCAGTGATACTGATGATAGTACCTGAAATGGAATAATGTGTCGAAACAAAAGCTTAACAACAGTGATTCAAAAGTCCCAGCAAACCTGTGTTTTGGTATCCGGTCTGGCCCACGCTAGAACACCACTCCTCCTCAGTTCTGAGATCTTCTGGTTGAGTTTGTGTGCAAGTATGATCGTGAGAGGCATGCATTCCTCCGTTTCATCAGTCGCGTATCCAAACATTAAACCTGGACGTCGTTTTAAATACATTCCAATAGGATTACATATGTGGATAAATTACACATGAATACACACAGACACGTGTACAAGATGATTTATAATAGACGGTTACACACACACACATACACAAACACAAACATAGTACCCAGACATAAAGCAGCCAGAGACTATCACAAACACACACACACAAAAACACATACATACATAAAAACACACACAACCATGTAGCATATTTAACACAAACCTTGATCTCCAGCACCGATGTTTTCTTCATCTCGACCGATGTGGACCCCCTGAGCAATGTCAGGCGACTGCTGTTCCAGTGCCGAGAGGACATTGCACGTCTTGTAGTCAAACCCTGATTTTTTGCAAATTAATAAAAAAACACATTAATTTGTGTATACTGGTTCACATATTGGCATGATGGTTTTGCATGATCTGAATATGTATATTATCTTATAATAATTTGAAAAATTGTTCTAGCCATTTTCACAAAGATAACACACATACGTACGCAGGTACGCACACAAACACACATCTGCAACATACACTAATATAAAATTCATAAGCAAGCATACTAACGCACAGAAACACACACCCATACAAACAAGCATTTAAAGATACATACATACAAACAAACAAACAAACAAACATTTAAAGATACATACATACAAACATAAAAAGATACAAACCCTTAGAGGAATCATCATAGCCAATGTATTTAATTGTATCTCGGACAACTTTTTGATAGTCTACATTGGCTTTGGATGTTATCTCGCCTAGCAACATTATCATGCCCGTCTTGGCTGCTGTCTCTGTGGGAATGATAATGAGTGAGTGACAATCATGATACGATGGCTATCGTGATAATGAGTGAGTGAGATACGATAGCTATCATGATAATGATTAAAAACCATGAAGATGGTAATGATGACCAAATTGACCAACCGCAGGCGACTTTGGCGTTCGGGTCTTGGCTGAGATGAGCGTCCAATACAGCATCACTGACTTGATCACATATTTTATCTGCCAAGGTTAGTAAGAATTATTATAAATTAGTGGATTGAAAGATAGGAGTAAAAAAAGAAACATAAAAAAATGAATATAAATGTTAAATAAATAATCATAAAAAACAGCACTTACAACAAGTTGAATAATAAAAATAATATTAAAACAACAACAAAATTTATTACAACAAAAATAAAGCTTAGTTTTTGTCTCAGCAACTAAGCAGACCCACAAACAAGAGTCCAACCAGACAAACATATATAGATATACAATAACACCTTTTTTAACTAGACAGTAAGACACACGCATATATACAATAACACATCTCTTTACCAGACAAACAGAATAGAAAAAATAATAAAAACATAAGATTAAGTCAGAAGAACAATAATAATAATAAGAATAATAAGAAGAAAGATTTAAAATAGGAATAATGATGAATAAAAATTTAGGTATGAAACCTTTGCTCTTTAACCAATGAACTGATTAAGACATTAAGTGAATAGGATGCAGAAATTTTAAAGAAATCTAACACACACACACACTCATACGCACACACACACACGTTGCTGTATGTGAGTATATCTCCCTTTTTCTCTGTATCTCTCACATAATTCTCTCTGACAGACATAAATACATTTATATATATATATATATATATATATATATATATATATATATATATATATATATATAGGATTATAGGCATACATACTATTTACACATACAAACACCTATGAAAATTATATACATACATACACACATACATTTATATATATATAATAGGCATACTATACACATACACCTATGTGAATAAAACAAATACATAAATAAATCAGCTATATATAGATATTACAGATATAACACATACACACACACAGGCCAAGCATTGAATATCACCTTACTACTTAACAGAGCAGTCAAACTAATGAAAATAAACATGAATACAAATCTGACATATATGTTTATACACATACATACATACACACATGCATGAAAATTAACATTATACAAACACACACATACATAGATATATATATATAAGAGAGAGATTGGTGTTGCTATTTATTTTATAAGCAACACTCACCTTCACAGTTCATTAAGAATTAAGGCTAGCTAACTAGTTTGTTAGCACTACACAAACTATTAATATTAAAATTAATTAAGCATTCAATCAATCTTGGACTGATTGCTTAATTAACTAATCAATTATTTCATTTAATTTATTTCTGCTGTAAGACTTCTTGAATTAAAAGTTAGCCAACTCTTGACTTTTTTAAACCTTGTTGTTAGATAAGCATTGACTAACAATTTAACATTAGAGTTAAAAAAAAAATTGAAGTTTTTCCCGAAGATACAAAAGAAAAACAGTAAGAAACAAGAGTAGCAACTGCAAGAAAAAGGCAACCATAAAGTTTTATAAACTAGTATAAATAAATGAGCAAAGTAACTTTTTAAAAAGTTTAAATTTTAAACTTTAATTAAATTTAAAAGCAAAATAAGTGACAACTAAAATATTATAATATTATGATGAGATGGCTTTTTTTCACTTATCAGCGCATCCAACTTCCATTTTAAAATGACGACGGAGGTGGAAATTAGTTTCACTTTTAGTTACAGTTCAGCAGATACTCACCTGGATGGCCCTCCCCAACGGATTCTGAGGTGAACAGGAACGTGGTCTCGTCGCCGGTGTCGATGTATTTTCCGCTTTCATATCCGTTCGGCATCATTTTTTAAATTTATTTTTCAATTTTATTTACAATTTTATTTTAAATAAATAAATATTAAATAATTAAATATTTTTATTTAGATTTCTACTGGCAGACCACAGACGCACTAAACTTTGGAAAAGAGAAAGATCGGTGTTTGTGAGCTCTTATATAGGCATTAATCAGGTCAACTATCTTTTATCTTATTGGCTATTAAGTGTCAATAAAAATGACCTAATTAAAAAATAACCAATCAAAGAGCAGTTTCAAACGTAATGGTGCGTTTGCTGATATTTTTGAATTATTGCATGAAAGTATTCGACAAATTTAATTCAATTTTAACAATTATCAGATCGTTTTTTGGTTATTTTACCACTTGTTATAAATGCAAAGTTTTACTTTTCAAATGTAGATTCACGTAGAATTACCAACAGCAGTCAGGTTTTTCGAGTATTTAGAAATCAATAGAAAATCAATTGGACTATGAAGCACCTTCATTTCACTTTCAAAGTACAGGTTTAGCTGGGGATATTGTTAGCACTCTTAGGAACATTTGTCTAATTTAAAGTCAATATTTTTGTGTTGTTGTGCGTGCGGCCCTTCAAAAGTAAAATAGTTCTCAAGGCTGCCCTCACAGCCAAAAGTTTGCCCACCCCTGTCTTAGATTGTCAAAATAAACTACTTTTGAACGGAGTACCATAAAAGTCGTGTCGTTAAATGAAATGATCATACCTCTTTCATTCATACAATTGAAACAATTCGTCTTAATTATATGATGGCTTTCTTTAGCGTTTATTTTCCAACAAAACACAAACATTAACTGAGTAACAATATAAATCAGAATATTATTGAATAAAAAATTAATGACCACGTTGTAAGTGTCAAACGAAGCAAATACATGGCTAGTTACTTTCACAAAATATAACTTAACGATCTTTATATCAATCAATCAATCAATTAACTTATAAAGCGCTATTTCCGCGATGTTCAACAGCGCTCCTCAATGAATTTGGAAAACAGATGGGTCTTGAGATCCGCTCTGAACTTCGCAAGTGATGGAGAGGTAGTCAAAGAAGTAGGTAGAGAGTTTCAGAGAAAAGGACCAGAAAAAGCAAAAGCAGATTTGGCAAAAGAGTGTTTAACACGAGTTAAGAAAAAGCGAGAAGAAGAAGACGATCGTAAACCGGGGCGTTTAGGTTCAATTAATATATCTGATAAATACTTAGGAAATAATTTAGATTGAGACTTATACATGAACGTGCAAATTTTAAAAATTATTCTATATTTTATAGGTAGCCAGTGCAAGAGAACAAGATATGGAGATATATGAGAAAAGAAAGGGGCACGAGCAACTAGACGAGCAGCAGAGTTAAAAGCTTTACTTAAAGGATAGAGTATAGAGTCAGGAAGACCATAGTAGAGCGAGTTACAATAATCAATCCTAGATAAGACTAACGAAGTAACAAGAAGAAGAAGAGTAGGATCATCAAGAAAAGGCAAAAGTTTTTTTATTCTACGTAGATGAAAGTAAGAGCTTCTAGCAACACTATTAATCTGAGAAGAGAGAGACATAGTAGAAACAAAGATAAAACCTAGACTACGAAACTTATGAGAGACATCAAGAGTTTTAGAATCAGGTAAGGTAATGTTTTAGAATCAGGTAATTCAGGTAGGATTAAGTTTAAGACACATAGAGTCAGACCAAGCGATAATTGAAGAAAGACATAGAGATAAATTATGAAGAACACTATTGAGATTAGATGGAGGAAAAGAAGTATAAATGTAAGAATCATCACATGACTAGAGAAAGAAAAGTTATTAATAATACGAGGTAGTTCAGAAGTATAGAGTATAAATAGAAGAGGGCCAAGGATAGAACCCTGAGGTACCCAGAAAGTAAGAGTAGAGGAGTTAGAAGTAGAATTATTGAGAACAACAGAAGAAAAACGATTACAGAGATAAGAAGAAAACCAAGATAGACAAGAATCAGTAATATTAAAAAAAAGATGCAGCAGTCTCAAGAGAATAGTATGGTCAACAGTATCAAAAGCTGAGGAAAAGTCAAGAGCAAGAAGAAGAGTAAGATTACTATTGTCACTAGAGAGAAGGATATCATTGTGTATTTTAAGTAAAGAAGTTACTTATGTATTGCTTTTGCATAACAAATCTTCACCAATAAAACAAATAAGAAATGAAATTATGACAATAGTTTAATAATTAATCAATCAAATACACTCAAAATTTATAGTTTTACTAAAATTTAAGATTAAAAGCATTTTAAAAAAAATAGGTACGTGTGATATTTGAGCTTATTTGTGAAATATATGCGCATAATTCTATGAATAGCTCTTTGGTTTGTAGTGAAAGTTAATGTTAAAAAGCGGTTAAGTCTATCAGACTGAGTTACGAAAATAAATAATTTAATGTGAAAATTGCATTCGTGTGAAAGAATTTGCCTAGAAGGAAGTGTAAAAAAGTTGATAATTATGCTAAAATTTACAGATAAACAGGGTCCAGTTTGAAGATAGTGTTTTTTTTAATACATTTATGAATATGAATAAACAAGTCGTCATGACATCTGTAACAGAAACGTTGGATAAAAAGCAACTCGTTAGCAGCAAATCAACCAATCGTATTTCTTTAATAATCTGCAGGCTAACAGTTTAACTGGAAAGGTTCAATATTAGTTCGTTTCCTATCAAACGTACCATTCTTTAACATCTTTCTTGCTGCAATCTTGTTGCTGTTGCGGCTGCAGTTGCGGTTGCTGTGATTGATGTTGCGGTTGTTGTTGTTGACAGTCTGCAACGGAATGGCAATAGACGAAAATATCTCCTGCACTTTTTGCACTGGTCACCATCGTTTTTTCTTTGTCGCCGTAAATGTTGACGTTGTAGAACTTTTTGAATAGCACGTAGAGCATGAGTGCCAGCAGGACGCTGATTGCTAAGATGACGCCGGTGATTAAAATAATATTCATAATTATGGAACTTGTTGAGTGGATGTTGTTGCTTTTTGAATAAGTTGCAGCAACATTGTTGATATTGTATTTTGGAATGGCCAGGAAGACTTCATCGTCCAGTTTGCTGTACGACGATTTAAGCTGTTGACCTGAATGATAATGGTGAACATTTTTTAATAAATTTTGTTGTAACTCAATGATCGATTTATGACTTGGATTTGGATTGGTTAGGTTATATTTCAGCAAAGGCAAAACTGTTGTCCTCCAGTCATGCAAGTTGGTGCTTGCGCGCGTGCTCGCAAGCTTCAACAAATTCTTCGTGGTTTTTGTTGCAACTTTGTCCGATTTTGTTGATAGCTTAACTTTCGAGAAGTTCGTTTTTAACGTTTGAAAGGTTTTTGAGATGTTGGCCAGGTAAGGTTTCGAGGTGGTCGAGAAGTTTCTGCTCGCAACGACAGCAGCAACATCCTCATCATTCTCATCGTCCTCATCATCGTCGTCGTCATCGTCACCGGAATATAAGCAATCATCATCATCATCTTCTTCTTCTTTACATTGTGGAGTATGAATTGAAATAACTGAATCACCGCCATCACCATCTTCATCACCATCGTTATCTTTGTTATTGTCAACATCGACTACTCTTGATCTGTGTTTGGATTTCAAATGAGAACAAATTATGGTATCTTGTTTGATTGATTGGTTTGTTGATTGATTAATTGGTTGGTTGATTGGTTGGTTGATTGTTTGGTTCGTTGATTGATTCATTGGTTGATTGATTGGTTCGTTAATTAATTATTTAGTTAATTAATTGGTTTGTTGATTGATTGATTAATCGGTAGGTTGATTGAAAGGATGTTTGGTTAGAAAAGTTAACCGATTGATTAATAGATTTACTGATTGACGATTGGTTGATAAGTTGGATATATGAAACCTTAAGAATAGCAAGAACAAACAAAGCATAAAAACAACACTCTGTTATTACTTATTTGCGTATTTCGACGCCTGAAGTTTCCTACTTGCAAATTTGCCTCCGTTAAAATCCACACTCTTCCTTATCAACTTTAGAATTTCTTGTCCGTTAACAACCAACCCTTCATTTATATGTGTCATATTTATAATTCATAATAAAATATAATTATAATTATGGCATAATAAATTGTTATTATATATTTATGTATGTGCGTGTGTAGTAGTTGTAGTAAAATGTTTCAATGATTTACCATGCAAACTCCCTTTAAAAGTGTTTGTCCAATGTTGGATGCTCTTATGAGAGGTAGATGATGGTGATGATAACGTTGATGATGATGATGATGATGTTTGTGACGACGACGATGATGATGACAAGCCTCCTAACATAACTCTCGTCTGCTTATTGAACATATTCAGTTGATGCCCTGGTTAATGACGTCACGAAAGTAATAAACAAAGCAGTGATCAACTCGCTTGTTTATTAATGCATATTTATTGATTCATTCATTTTCAAGTTGTTCTGATTTAACTCATCTATTCATTTGAATTTATAACAATTAATTTTAAAATAGTTTCTTTTTTAAATTCAACGCCAATAACCCAACTTAAACTAATTCCTAACTGTACGCTAATCTTCCTAATCTCTCCAGCAGACCTTTGGGATGAATCCTGTCGACCTCCTGACCGTCAATGTACAATGAAGAATTGGCGCCAGTGCGTAAAAATCTTATCACGTGACGAATGCCATTGTTTACTCTTGAGTGACCATTAAGATTGCTGTTATTATTATTGTTATTGTCGTTGTTGTTGTGGTTGTTGTTGTTGTTGCTTGACAATTTGTGGTCGGCCAGCCCCAAGTTGTAGGAGACTTGTACGTGACCTTCGACCTTCAAAAAAAAGTGTCAAAGGTCGTTTGCTGGTAGAAAGACTGAATTGCTTACAAAATGGCATAATAATAATTATTATTATTATAATTTAATACTGTCATCATCTGCTTAATTCAAATCGCCTAAATTTATTTTTTAATTAAACCGACAAAACATGAAATGAAACAAAAAGAAATTAATTCTTCAAAAAGATGCGACACAAACCATTTCAATTCTCAAATAATCTTTCGAATGGCTACTGCTGATGATGATAATGATACCGTTGGGTGCCATGGTAACGATTCCAAATGCGATACTATCATGAATG